CTAGGTTATATCCATGCATGGTCCTTGGTTGGAGAAAAAGTCCCAGAAAAGAACTCTGTGCCCAGATATATTTGGTCCTTGTGGAGCTTCTGTCCTTTCCAGGTCTTACTAACTCCCCCTTTTTTTCACATAATTCCCTGCACTCTGCCCAAGGTTTGGTTATGAGTCTCAGCATTTGCTTTGATACACTGATAGGTAGAGTCTTTCAGAGGCCCTCTATGGTAGGTTCTTGTCCTGTTTCTTTTTTTCTCCTACTTCCAATGTCCATCCCATTTGTCTTTCTAAATGAGGATTGATCATCTTACCCTGGGTCCTCCTTCTTATTTAGCTTCTTTAGGTGTACAGATTTTAGTATGTTTATCCTGTGCCTTTCAGACCAAGACAAGGGATATGTAATCTAATATTCTGCTGCTGGAAGGAATGTGATACCTGTCAACCAATGGAGTGAACAAGAAAGATACAGAGCTGTAAATAGTTAAATTTCATTCAATAGTGAGCAAAATAAAGGATTTTTCTAAGTTGAAACAGTAATACAATTACTGATTTTTAAAAAAATTTAGAGGACTTTTCTTTTTTCCTTTATTAAAATTTAAATAGAACAATTCAAATGTCTTATTCTTAGCATGAAACTTCAAGTTTCATCCATTATTAAATCAACATCAGAATCAAAAGAACCCTTATTCTAAGTTTTACATTTTCCTGATATTTTTTTCTTTTGTGATCCTTTCTCCTATCTATGACTCCTCACTCTGGTCGATGCTCTTTTCACAAGGTCAAACCAGCCTTTCTTTCCAAGTGCGAAGCCACATGTCGTATTATCTTCTATGACTTACAACTTTTCTAATTCATCCTGTGGTATTTTGGGCAATTTTGAACAACTCACATTCTAACCTAATTTTGTTTCTCTGGTATGTTTACTACAAAAATAAGCCAAGCTTAATATTATATATCAATTAAAATTTGATGTCTTAGTATTTTATTTATTAATTAATTTAAGCTTTTTGAATGTGTGTGGTGTGTATGTACATGTGTATGGAGAGAATGCATATTTCCATATGTGCCAACATGAAAAGACTAGAAAAATACAGTCAGCATGCTTCTGTGCCTCTCCTTTCTTCATGCTCCCTCCTAGGCGTGCGCACACACACACACACACACACACATACACACACATACATCCTGCAAATACAGGTAGTTTTGCTTCATACAACCATGCTATGTCATTCAAACCTAATTAAGGTGATTTGGGCATGAAAACAATGACAGATTCTGAAATAATAACAGGCATATATAAAGTAAAGCTGTGCTTGGGTCAGCTGTGCTAGCTCTGAGAGAGGGCATGGACAACAGGAAGAGGAAATTTAGGGAGTTTATTTTGTGCAGCACACAAAGGAAGGGTAAACTCATCTCAGCAGGAAGTCTCTGTAATAAGGGAGCTGTCTCACTTTACAAACATCCAGGAGGAGGAAGAAGCTGTATTCTCTGCTTTCAACACACAATGTCAGGATTCCAAATTCACCCGTGGAAGGATTTACCGTCTGCCTGAGGCTGACTCCCAGGAAGTTTAACAGTTTTCAGGGACATGGGACCTTGACACGGCCTTGCTTTTACCAGCAAGAAAGCAGAGATACATGTGATTAGTATGACCAAAAGTATTTTTATTACACTGAGGGTATCACAAAAGGTTCACACTCCAAATTCCTACTTCCAGTCCTAAACCTATTTCCTCAGGCTGCTTATCTGGGTGATTATCTTAGCTGAAGGCCAGGTCCAGTCTCTAACAGATGTCTCTGATTTGAGGGTCTGGATCCTGGGGAAACTTTCCAGGCACAGGGTGGATGTAGATGGTGTCCTTTCAGATGTGCAAAGAGAGCATCGTTCTCTGCTTATCGACCCTTCAGTTGGTGGCATGAGGTTCTAGGACTGTGTTTGGGTATCTTGAGTGAGTGGTGTTACTGAGTTCTGGTTATCAGGTGCAGCCTTGGGTGTAGTGGGTTCCAGATTAAGCTGTTTTTACACAATCCCACCCCCACAGCACCCCCCCCACAAGCACACACATACATATACAACACACATTTTTACATATTTGCCATTTACATTATATCTAAAAGGCATTTTTTATGCCTTTATATGCTCGTTATACTTGCTCTTGACAAACAATACACACTCAGGACTCCATCTGCTTCCCATAGCACTTGCGTATCTCTAGCTTTTTACATTGGTTCTGTGGATTCAAGTTTAGGGTTGTAGTGCTCCTGCAGCAAACACTCATACACACTGAGCCATCTTCCAAGCCCTAGATGTCTTCCTTATACATAAAAGCAAATTCAAGTTATAATATAATAACAAAAAAAGAATTGTAAATGTGTGTTTTCCTCCCACACCCAGCTCCTGAAATAATGACTGTGAGGCTTAAATACATTTACAAAATTCTAGACCAATCTAGGCATGCTCCCTGACTGGCCCATAACTAAGATCTTGCCTGTTCTTTTCTTAGTTCTGCCACATGGCTGGTTATGTCTGCTCAGGTTTGTATGTCCATCTTCTCCGGAGTCTGGGGCAAATCCTCACCTCTGACATCTCTCAGAGTTCTTCATTGTCTCTCTTTCTGTCTCTCTGTCTTTTTCTCTCTGTCTCTGTCTCTCTGTCACTCTGTCTCTCTCTGGAACTCCCACCTCCTTATTTCCTGCCACAGCTAACAGGCCATTAGCTTTTAAATGACAGGTGATGCTTATATACAGGCACAAGAGATTCTTTCTATATTTCCATCTTTAAATCCAAAAAAATATCTTTCAATTATACTAATAAAGTATATAAAAATAACAATTATGAAACAATCATGTAGGATTTACATTCACAATGTCCATTCCATTTGCACCTGGCAACTTTTGAGAAAGTATTTTAGTATCTATCCTATCTTGGTATGTTCAGAGTTCTGAACCTAATTATTTTTTTATCCTAACTTGTATTATCCATCTAAAAATAGCTCCTTAGACCTGAAATTATCTTAAGTCGTCAATAGCTTATGCTTACTTATGAGACTATAACTGTCTAGTCTTCAAGCGAATCAGAGACTTGAGAAGGAATAACTGTTATCTAAAGATGTAGGAACACAGAGCAAGCAGCTTCCACAATATAGAAATGACAGACAGCTGGCTGCCTGGGCAGTCATCCTATGTCTTTCTACAATGTTGGGACATGATCTTTAGCCTTCTGGTCCAGAGTGCCAGACAGACTTTTTGTAAAGCAGGAATTGTGAAAGATTATGTACCTTGTCTTGGCAAAAGTTTGCAAACAATTTTTCCCATGTGTCCAGTTTGTCCATTTTGGACAGAATACTGTCACCAGTTGAAGCAAAGTTTTTGCTCAGTGGTTGGCTTGTCACTTTTGAAGCAACCTCCATAACGAGGTTCTGTGCTGCTCAATATGTTCTTTTTTTTTTAAGTTAAAATGGAATTTATTTTTTAATTGTATTTTCAAATTTTATATATTAATTACAGTTTATTCATTTTGTATTCCAGCTGTAACCCATTCCTCATTCCTTCCTCCCTCATCTCCTCCCATGACCATCTCCAAGTCCACTGATGGGGGGGTCCTCCTTCCTTTCCATCTGACCCTAGCTTATCAGGTCTTATCAGGACTGGTTGCATTGTCAACCAAGGACCATTCATGGATATAACCTAGAACCCCTGTTCAGATGTAACCCATGGCAGCTCAGCATCCAAGTGGATTCCGTAGAAAGGGGAACAAGGACTGTCTCTGACATGAACTCAGTGGCTGACTCTTTGATCATCTCTCCCTGAGGGGGGAAACAGCCTTGCCAGGCCACAGAGGAAGAAAATGGAATTTATTAAAGAACACATTGTACAAATTTATAGGTAGTGGGTAATTTGATGCATGTATATAATGAGCAACAATCAACTCAGGGTAATTATCATTTGACATTTCTATGTCTTGGGAAATCTTAGGCTCTTCTGCTTACAAATACAATGTTTTTTAAAATTAATTAATTAATTAATTCAATTTACAATTTATTCACTTTGTATCCTGGCTATAGCTCCTTGTCTCTTCTCCCAGTGCCACCCACCCTCACTTTTCTCCCCCTATACCCTTTCCCTAATCCACTGATAGGGGAGGACCTCCTCCCCTTCATTCCAACCCTAGCCTATCAGATCTCATCATGGCTGGCTACATCATTTTCCTGTGTTGCCTGGCAAGGCTGCATCCCCCAGGCTGAAGTGATCAAAGAACAGGCCAATGAGCTTATGTCAGAGACAGCCCCTGATCCCCTTACTAGGGAACTCACTTGGAAACTGGGCAGCCTATGGGCTTTATCTGAGCAGGGGGTCTAGGTCCTCTCCATGTGTGGTCCTTGATTGGAATATCGATCTCTATTGGACTCCCTGGGCCCAGAATTTTTTGGCTCTGTTGGTCTTCTTGTGGAATTCTTGTCTCCTCAAGGTCTTTTTATCTCCCTTTTCTTTGATGAGATTCCCTGTACTCTGCCCAAAGTTTGGCTATGAGTCTCAGTATCTCCTTTGATACACTGAGGGGGAAGGAATGTTTCAGAGGTCTCCTGTGAAAGGCTACTGTCCTGTCCCTTGTCTTCTGTTTCTGATGTCTATCCTGTTTGCCCTTCTGAGTATGGTTTCAGCCTCTTCCCTAGGGTCTTCCTTTTTGTTTAACTTCTTTAAGACTATAGATTTTAGTGTGTTTATCCTCTATTATATGGCTAATATCCACTTATAAGTGAGTATATACCATATATGTCTTTCTGCTTCTAGGTTACCTCACCTCAGGATGATCTTTTCTAGTTCCATCCATTTGCCTGCAAATTTCATGATTTCTTTCTTTTTAATTGCTGAGTAGTATTCCATTGTGTAAATATACCATGATTTCTGTATCCATTCTTCAGTTGAGGGACATCTAGGTTGTTTACAGATTATAGCTATTATGAATAAAGATGCTATGAACATAGTTGTGCAAATGTCCTTTTTATATAAAAACCTTGCTTAGATGCTATAAAATAGGTGGCAATGACTTAACTGTAGGGTGTTTTTAGGCCCAAGAGTCTCTTTTCCTTGTCAAGGGAAATACTAACCTTCTCTCCTTTCATACAGCACTAAATATCTTATTTAATGTAGGGTAGGGTGCTACCAGAAGCTGGCATGTCTTATTGTTAAAGAATCCTTAAAATAATAATAAAATAAACACATTATATGACATATTCTATAGGTATCTGAAGTTTTTGGAGATGTATTTACAACACACCTTAATAGGTAAACTTGCTTGTGTCTAGTTATTTACTATCTGTTCATCCTAGGATGTAAATTTCTCTGATAAACTAGACTTTTATCTGACATAACCATGAGTTTGATTGACTATTAACTTGTGTTGCTTAATTATCCTGATTTAATAGCAGCTTTATAAGACTGGAACTAAACTTTATATTTCTAAATGAGTTGCATTGGTCCAATACACAACAGTTGAAACATATATATAAAATGGGTATAAAATAGGTTTAAATTTATATCAATGTACAATAATTTATACCAACATAACCAAAAATAACCTCAATTTTGTGTGAGGATAGGAAAATACATACCAATGTGAAACTACTGGCATATAGAATGTTCTTTGGGTTAAGAGTAGATCAATAATCTGTCCCCTTTCCCTATTATTTGTACATCATTTCTATAATACACTTTTTTCTCTCAACCTGTGCTGATTTTGGATATAGTTTCCCCAGATCAAGTAAGATGCTGGAATAATTATGTTTTAATGTCTCAACTTCATGGAAGATGAGTCTTGTTCAGGATTTTTCCATTCCATTGGTGTCTGGTCCACTTGTCATGTAAACATACAAACTTTCACAAACAATATACATTTCTGTAATAACATATGTATGGAATGTTCAAGGTGCATCCTATATGATCCAGCCTCAGACTTCCTGAACTGTTGTTTTGTCCAAACTTGCTTCCAGGACAGCTTCAAACAGCTAACTCGAATTGTCCAGCATCACAGACTGTTCTAGTCAGGGCTTCATCTGAGCCTGCATTTTCACAGCTTTTGAAGACTGGACAACTAATATCACAGCTAGCTTTCTTAACCATTTTTTTCAATTTCTTGGGTTTCTATAAATAACCAACAGGCTCATGCAATTAAGCATTTTTCTCATAATCCTAAGGTTCTCAGCAGCTATAATTTTGTTTGTTTGTTTTTTTGTTTAAGTCTTAAACTTAAGAGAAGATAGAAAGACCTGGAGCGGACAGGAGCTCCACAAGAAGATTAACAGGACCAAAAAATCTGGGCACAGGGGACCTTTCTGAGACTGATATTCCAACCAAACATCATGCATGGAGATAACCTAGAAACCCTGCACAGATGTAACCCATGACAACTCAGTCTCCAAGTGGGTTCCATAGTAAGGGGAACAGGGACTTTCTCTGATATGAACTCTGTGGCTGGCTCTTTGATCACCTCCCCCTGAGGGGAGAACAGCCTTACCAAGGCACAGAGGAAGACAATGCAGTAGTCCTGATGAGACTTGATAGGCTAGGGTCAGAGGGAAGGGGAGGAGGACCTCCCTTATCAGTGGATTTCATGAGGGGCATAGGAGGAGATGAGGGAGGGAGGGTGAGATTGGGAGATGATGAAGGAGGGCACTACAGCTGGGATAAAAAGTGAATAAACTTTTATAAAAATAATTTATAAAAATTAAATTAATTAAAAATTATATACAAAAATTTAAAAATGTAAAGTTAATAAAGCATTATGTAATCTATATCTAGGAGTCTTTGTTACCCCTTTTTGTTTGTTAAGCATCTTTTAATGTACAATTGTATCTCTCCACAACTGCTTGTCCTGTAAGACTATATGGTAAATCTGTAATAAGCTTTATAATATAATACTTTATTAAAGAAATATGCTGGAATATTGTCACTCTTAATTTGTATACACATATCCATAATTGCCATAACTTCCAACAAATGTGCAATCACAGACTCATCTTTTTCAGAATCCAAAGCAGAAACCCATTAGAATTCTGAATAAGCATCAATAGTATGATGCATCAACATGTGCACATACCTTAATTCTCCAAACTTTACAAAATGAAACACATAATTTATTGTATGATATTGCTGTAGCATAGCAGCAATAAGCACAATCTGGATTTTTAACTCAGTATTTTGTATCTTTATGCATTGCTATTCTAGTTTTTGATAACCCTGTAGATTTCTCACTTCTGGAACTATTCTCTCTGATGTTAAATTCCAGATTGGATTTCTCACAGGTTCTCAATTTTGATTCAAGAATTCCTCCAAACTCTGATCTTTGGCCATTAATACAGTTTTTCGGTCTCTTCTTTCTTCAAGTCAGACTATTTCTCCCCTCCCTATGTTTTATCTCTTTATGTCTTAGCGTTTTTCTCAGCCTGATTTCTAACTTTTTATTGTTATTATCGTTTGTTGCAATTTATTCAATTTGTATGCCAGCTCTGGCCTCTCAATTGTCTCCTCCTAATCCCGCCCTCCCTTCTTCTTCTCCCCCTATGACCCTCCCCTAGTCCCCTGATAAGGGAGGAGGACCTCCCCTTCCATCTGACCCTAGTCTATCAGGTACATCAGGACTGGTTTCATTATCTTTTTTTGTAGACAGGCAAGGTTGCACCCTAAGGGGTAGGTGACCAGAGAGCTCTGAGTTCATGCCAGAGATAACCCCTGTCTCCCTTACCCAACTTGGAGACTGAGTCTATGGGCTACGTCTGAGCAGGGGTTTTAGGTTATCACCATGCATGATCCTTTGTTGGGGTATCACTGTCTTTAGGGCTCGCAGGACTCGGTATTTTTATCTCTCTTGGTCTCTTTTTTGAGCTCCTGTTCCCTCCAGGTCTTTCCATCTCCCCCTTCTTTCATAAAATTCACATTCTCTGTCTCAGTCTCTGCTTCAATAACTCAATCAGTAGAGTCTTTCAGAGGCCCTCTGTGGTAGGTTCCTGTCCTGTTCCCTGTCTCCTCCTGCTTCAGATGTCTATCACATTTGCCTTTCTGAAGGAGGATTGGGCATCTTCCATAGGGTATTCTTTTCTGTTTAGCTTCCGTAGGAGTATAGATTTTAGTATGCTTATCCTATTTTACATGTCTAATCCCCACTTATGAGTGAATATATGCCATGAATGTTTTTCTATTTCTGGGTTACCCCACTCAGTATGATCTTTTCTAGTTCTATCCATTAGCATGCAAATTTCATGATTTCCTTGTTTTTAATAGCTGAGTAGTACTCCACTGTGTAAATGTACTACAATTTCTGTGTCTATTTCTCAGTTAAGGGACATGTAGGTTGTTTCCAGATTCTAGCTATTATGAAAAGAGCTGATGAGAACATGGTTGAACAAATGTGCTTGTTGTATAGTTGAGCATCTTTTGGATATATGCCTTGGAGTGGTATAGCTGGATCTTGAGGTAGCACTATTCCTAATTTTCTGAGAAAACACCAGATTGATTTCCAAAGTGGATATACAAGTTTACATTCCCACCAGCAACAAAGGACGGTTGTGCTTTCTCACCATCCTTTCCAGCATGAGTTGTCACTTAGCCATTAGAGTTTTTATCTTAGCATTACTGATGATTGTAAGGTGAAATCTCATGGTTCTAATGATTTGCATCTCCCTGATGACTAAGGACTTTGAACATTCTCTGTCATTCCACTATTGAGAATTCTCTGTTTAGCTCTGTACCTTACTTTTTATTTGGATTGTTGGGTTGTTGGCTTTTAACTTCTTAAGTTCTTTATATATTCTGGATATTAGCCCTCTATAAGATATAGGGTTGTTGAAGATTCTTTCCCAATCTGTAGGCTGTTTTGTTTTGATGACAGTGTCCTTTGCTTTACAGAAGTTTTTCAGTTTCATGAGGTCCCACTTATTGATTGTTGCTATTAGAACCTGTGCTGTTGGTGTTCAGTTCAGGAAGTTGTCTCCTGTGCCAATGACGTCAAGGCTCTTCCCCACTTTTTCTTCTAAGAGGCTTAGTGTGTCTGGTTTTATGTTGAGGTCTTTGATCCACTTGCATTTAATTTTGTACAGGATGACAAATATGGATCTATTTGCATTTTTCTACATGTAGACATCCAGTTAGCACCATTTGTTGAAGATGCTGTCTTTTTTCTATTGTATGATTTTGACTTCTTTGTCAAAAATCAGGTGTCCATAGCTGTTTGGTATTGTTTCTGGGTCTTCTATTCAATTTCGTTGATCCTCCAGGCTGTTTCTCTGCCTGTACCATGCAGTTTTATTACTGTTGCTCTATAATATAGCTTCAGATCAGGGAGGGAAATACCTCTAGAAGATCTGTTATTGTACAGGATTATTGTAGCAATTCTGGGTTTTTTTGTTTTTCCATATGAGATTGAGAATTGTTATTTCAAGTCAGTAAGAATTGTGTTGGTGTTTTGATGGGATCTGCATTGAATCTGTAGATTGCTTTTGGCAGGATGGCCATTTTCACTATGTTAATCCTACCAATCAATGAGCATGGGAGATTTTTCCATATTCTGATATCTTCTTCAATTTCTTTCTTCAGAGACTTGAAGTTTTTTCATACAGGTCTTTCACTTGCTTAGTTAGAGTCACACCAATGTATTTTTCTTATTAGTTACATTTTGTTAATTCTGTATCCCAGCTGTATCCTGCTCCCTCATTCCCTCCCCAATCCCACCCTCCCTCCCTCATCTCCTCCCTGCCCCTTTCCAAGACCACTGATAGGAGAGGACCTCCTCCCCTTTCATATGACTTCGTTTTGTCAGGTATTTTCAGGACTGGCTGCAAAGTCCTCCTCTGTGGCCTAATAGTACTGCTCCTCCCTTGTGGGGTGGGTAGGTCAAAGAACCAGTCATTGAGTTCCTGTTAGAAATAGTCCTTGTTCCCCTTACTATGGGAAACCAATTGATTACTGAGCTTTCACGGGTCACATCCGAGCAGAGGTTCTAGGTTTTATCCTGGTCATGGTCTTTGGTTGAGTGTCCATCTCAGAAAAGACCCTGTGCCCAGATATGTTTGGTCCTTGTGGAGCTCCTATCCTTTCTACATCAGACTCCCATTCTTTCATATGACATCTCATTCTTT